TATATATATATATATATATATATATATATATAAATGTAAAAATGTAAAAAACCTTATCTTTGAATCGCAGAGTGCTCTACAATCATATGGAGCTTTGTAAACGATTATTTAGGAAAATAAAAATTAAAACTTGATACTACAGATCTGTTTCGAAAGGAAAAGTCCTCTCTCGTTAGGTGGATAAGGCACTAGTTGAGTAACCGCCCTTTTAAGTAGGTGGTTTGAGCAGCCTTATCAGATATTTAGAAAGAAAAATCGACGCCCACAATAAGTCCGCCCTCGCAAATAATTCCCAATCGCAAGAAAAATCATGCAATTGTAGAGACAAACACTCTTGCCCGTTACGTGGCAATTGCCTAATTCAAAATGTGGTCTACCAGGCCACAGTTGAAAGTCCCTTGGGAACCCAAACGTACGTCGGCCTTACTGCGAACCAATTTAAAACAAGATTTAGAAATCATACAGCTTCATTTAGACACGAGAACAAAAGGAACGCAACAGAGTTGAGCAAATATATCTGGTCCCTAAAGGATGCTGAAACGGAGTTTTCCGTGACCTGGAAAATAATAGCTCGTGCCAGGCCGTACTCAAATACCACGAAGAGATGCAATCTTTGCATAGCTGAAAAATTCTTTATCATATGCAGAACAGGGGCGGGTACCCTAAACAAAAGGAACGAACTGGCGAGTGCGTGCCGGCACTCATCTAAATATCTGATAAGGCTGCTCAAACCACCTACTTAAAAGGTCCGTTAGTCAACTAGTGCCTTATCCACCTGACGAGAGAGGACTTTCCCTTTCGAAACAGATCTGTAGTATCAAGTTTTAATTTTTATTTTCCTAAATAATCGTTTACAAAGCTCCATATGATTGTAGAGCACTGTGCGATTCAAAGATAAGGTTTTTTACATTTTTACATTTGTATATATATAGCGATAGCTCTTTGGCATACAAACCTTTGCTTTCATGTCCAAATTGAGCACTCTACCTAGGATGAATCATGGCTGTTGCAATTGCGCATGCTCACTAGTTTATTCTAGTTTGAGCACAAATGTTGGGTCTTTTGGGGTGACCCTCTCGGTTCTCCCCCATCCTAGCATCAGCACTGCACTGATGAGGCCCAGAAGGCCGAAACAGTACTGTCTGCAGTACTGTTTCTAGGGTAGAGTCTACCTTGGCATAAAGTATCTTTATATTATCGGTTTTAATAGGTTTTATAACGATGGTGTTACTTTTTAGTTATAATGTTAGATTTTGTTTCTATTTTATTCACTGATTAGCTTATGGGCTACACTTTGGCGCTTTTATTGTATATGGCACACAGACGTTTTTACTGCATATAATTATAATAATCAGTTTATTTAACCCTTTGGTAGTGTTAAACACTAAATTACAAGGGAGACAATAAATTTCATTCAATTCTACACAGAACACAATACACTTGGCATAAGCAAAAAGAAATTAAGCCCTATTGCAACTGTGGGTAACGAACTTACTAAGGCTCTTACGAAGCGGAATTGAGAACAGGAAAAACCAGACCTCAACCCATACCCATGAGCGACATTCATGGCTGTGGCGCAGGTGTGCAAGGAAGCCGGACTCCTTGATGTTAGATGTAAAACGCCTGCAAGCCTCATCACCGCGCGCCAACAGAGTAGGCAAACCACAGCTCACGAATGCACACTCATAAGAGCAATTTGGAAATATGATTCTCAGTGCTGACATCTGAACGCTTTCCACCAACCTTTCCACCTTTTACAGGACATTTGCAATAAACAGCAGTATCGAAAGACGAGATTTTTCTTTCAGTGTTAATTTCTCCCCGAAAGGGTTTAGAATATTTATACAGATCTTTTGAATAGCCCATAGGATCTAATAATTTCGTTTGCTTACCTTTTTTATCGGTGGCAAGGCTTATTTTGACAGCAGGACAGTTGACAGACTACTGTAATCCCCCTTCTCAAAAAAATCAATTAAAAAGAAGATAGATAAATAAATAAAATGGACAAGTAAATAATTATTTAACTCATGGCATTTCATTTTCTTTGTCTTTCATTTTTTTATTTTGTCTCCACACAGATTGTCATGAATCCTCAGGCTGTTGTTTTGCTCATGCTGGTGGCTGTTCCCTTGACATCTGCGAGTATGTTACTCTATTATTATGTTATGTTTAGTTACCACCTCTACCCTAATAAGTAAGCGGAATATTTGCTCGTGGATTGCTATGTCCAAGAAAAATTCATGATGATAGAGAGAGTTAAAAATTTCGACGCTTTTCTGAACAAGCCTTTCTGGATCCAAATGAGACCTGGGAGTACTCAGCTTGTCACATAAAAACAAACAAAAACAAAACAAAACAAAAACAAAACCAAAAAACAACACAAAAAAAACCCAAAATGTAAGATACACTAAAGTTCGCAAAGAAACCAGGTGGCAAATCACACATTGTCTGACGGCATTCTTGTTCAAAGATTTACTGGATGTAATCGGGGAAATTAGAATCCATCGACCCAACGTTTTCACACTTCTGTCTAGTGCTTTCATCAATGGCGATCTAATCCTTGCAACAAGAGGCCCTTTTATATGCTCACTAATTAGTTGCCGTTTTTTTCTGACGAGGTGCAAATAGGCCTCAGATAGTAAGCCGCCATTATCACGATTCAAGGAAGCGTGGGCGGAGTTCATACGAGCTTCCAAACAAAGGCGCTGGTGGTAGTGGCGATTAGTGGATTTTAGAATTATCCCACCCAATTGTATGGTTACTTAGGCATGCGTGCTTCGACAAAGCCGAATCTAATTTTTTCGCAAAATAAGATCGCTTTCTGATGCTCTTTCAAACGCGTATCAAACTGGTCTGTTGAATATATTCGTGTTGACAATCAATTCACGGAATAGAATAAATAACGGGAATTCGTTGTCTTTTCCTAACAGGGTTCATAGGTTCGGAAAAAATATGCCCCAAGGTCTGAAAAGGCTTTTGACCAACTTTAACATTGTGCCTATTCAAAATTCTCTTGACGGGCTCCGTAACACCCTGGATGTAAGGAATAACAGCAAAAACAGTCGCTGTTTCCTTCTCATTAGAAATGTTAAACAATTGGCTCATTCGTCAGCGTGCGTTCATCGAGATATAAAGCACGCGGGAAGTTTGGAGAGCACGAAATATACGTAAGAGTTGCTCGAGGCGTAGCCGAGAGCAGCTCTAGCTTCTTGACTGCTCTTCAAACCTCCCAAGTGCCTCATATCTCGATAAACGCAGAGCTCACGCATGAACCAATTGTTCTATAACATTTTCAACGCTGTAGTTTATGTATAAAGGGCACAAATTTCCTCTCCTTCGCTTCATTGCGTTCTTTATTTTGTTTCGGAAAAGTATTTTCCCATGCTTCAACGATCTTGTCAAAGATTGGTCAAAAACTTACAGGTGAATTCATGTGTGGAGATGCAGTTAGAATTCCGAAACGAGATGAAACCGTTGATTGTTTTGTTTACCCTTTCTCTGGGTTCCTTCTCGGGAGTTAAAAAATCCATTCCCAAAGAAAAAGCAGGCAGATCTTCATCGCCTTGTTCGCTTTTTGCCATGTCTAGTTTAACTTTTTAGTGGAAGTTTTTACTGTTTTTTAAGGAAAAATGCTTCAGCCACTCGCGAGAAAAAACTTTTTCGCGGGACATTTGTTTGCTGACGTCACCAGCGTGCACAGTGGAAAATTGAAGCACGCTTGCGCTATTGAATCTGAATGCAGGAGTTTACAAGCTATGTTGTAATATTAGTTGAAACTGGTTTCTGGCAGTTACGGAGAAATGTTTTGGTATAGCAGTTTGTCTTTAGGACGTCGGAAACAGTGAGTGCAAATAATCTGACAATTTGAAAGTTATATTCTTTTAGTCTAAAGCATCAAATGCAAATAAGCAAAGAAGATCACTCGAACTCGCATTATCGGGAATTCGACAGAACACAAAAATAACAGCTTTCCAGGGAAGATAGCTTTATTAGAAAAAAAAACCTGTATATAGACAGAGTGCTCAATTGTGAAGTAGAGCATGTTATAATTGACCATCTACTGCGAGGATCGTGCATCATAGGTATCTAATACCGCAGTACAAAATATATGAACTTCATATATTTCATTGTATCTCATTTATCACTTTCACTGGTTTATTACGAATCAACTTAACGACCTTCTCCCAGTTGGCCTGTGAGCTCAATTGGTAGAGCGCTGCACGAGTATCGCAGAGGTCAGTGGTTCGAATCCCCCACAGGCCTGATTTTTTCCAGGTCTGATTTTCGCTATTGCTTAAATAGGGCTATCTACTGCGAGGATCGTGCATCATATGTATGTCCTATTTTGTCTAGCAGGTTGGTAGTGTCTTTAATAAACGATGGTAAATTTCGAGCAAGTGGTTGTAAATAAAATTCAGTAAAGGCTGATAAGTTTTCAATTGCCGTGCCACAACAAGATGTAATAAGTCTGAGCGGGTTACCCGTTTTGTGTGTTTTGATGTTTCCAAATGCAACTCCTGATCTCGCTTCTTTATTGAAAACCCATTTGGCTACTTCGGGAGAAATCTCACCTTTTCCTAGCCATTTGGAGCACCAACTCTCTCCTAATGCCAAACTTTTAGAGGTTGGGTCTGATTGCAAAGGTTCATAATGCAACTGATTGTTAAGCTGACCAAACATTTTTTCCTCGTACTCCCCTTCATCAATTAAGCAGATCGGGATCCTTTGTCTTGTATACGAATCACTACATTGGAACTTTTAAGTTCTTCTCTTTGGCATCCCATGGTTTGAATAAAAGAAAGGAATTTCATTAAAAAAAATAGAATTTGCTATAATTAATTTTCCATCTTAAATTAGGCGCTACTAATTGATCGTTCAAAGGCCCTTTTCTTGGATTTTGTCGGCCCTTTAGGTGTGGATTGGACTCAGAGGCCCTGCCAAGGGATCTTATTATGATTAGTATCATTTAAAGGCCCCTCCAAGGATTTTGTTGCTAATTTGCCCTTTCGGGCTCCAAAGGCCTTGTTTTGGGATTTTGTTACGGTATACAGTTGTAGTAAAAAGTGGGCCTTCCCTTTTTTAATGCTCGCCGCATTGCTTCTTTGCAATTGGTTACGCCACTTATATMAACATATTTAGTATTCTTATCTCTTAGTTTTTAGGGTTTGTTTCTTGTATTTTGTCCATTGCTTTCTTTGTAATTAGGTTTTTTGTTATCTTTTTATTAGCACTAGTTCATTAGTCGTTATCTGTAATTACGTAATCGTTTGCACTTCGATCCTATTTAATGCTCTTTTTTTATTTCAAAATTTGTAAATAACTGAAGGTCTCTAACCGAAATGTTTTTTATTAAAGTTTTTTAAACTTTTTACTTCAGAAGCTGTCCATCCTCGCATTTTTTTAAACTTTCTAGATATATATATAACGTGTGATAGGCAAGAAAAAAATCAATCAACTACTTTTTATCCCTACAAACCTATTTCGTGGTTGCCCACTCATCAGGGGATTTTAATGACAGAATAACGCAGTACCATTGCTTAGATACTATACTTATTAACATAATTTATTTGTTGCGAAAAGTGTCAAGTCAGCTGTTGCGTAGGAGGGCTTTCTTTCTGTGCCGGCAGGAAGAGACGAGTTCGTTACGTTTGTTGAGTGTAGATAGGTCGGGCCGGCAGATGATTAGGAATTTCTCTTTAAGGCATAGGTTGCATAGTTTTCTTGAGCTGCTTGAATTGAGTTTTATCAATTTTCTCGGAAGGAAAAGGATTTTTCAACAAACTACCTATGGGTTAATCCGCACTAGCAGACAAAACTAAAATTGTCCTGACAAAATCAACGGAGATTTTTTTCAAGACAAATTTTTGTCTCTTCTGTTGCATCTGCACTAAAAGTTTCGAAGCTGTCAAAGCTGTCAAATTCAGTCAACAGCCGAAAATAACAGCGATGCTATATTTCATTGTAATTTATTCTACTAAGCTTTTCCTTTGCTTCGAGAGGGCACTTTTGGATCTTGTGCCACCTCTACTGCTTCATTGTTGGACTGGTAATGTGGAGACTGGATAGTCACCTCACCGTTGTAACTTGCCCAGGCTGCATGCAAACTGTTTCCTTGGCTGTCATAAGGTGGGACATTCCAGCGCCTAACCTGCTTTTAAAAGTCAATGGTAGCTTTAATTTTCATATCGATCTAGACTCCAGTTACCAGGATTCATCTTAATTTGTCTGAATTTGTAAAATCCGCGAGTTTCGTGACGAAAGCCAATTACTGCAATCTTTTGGTAAACTGAAATAAGTTAATTACCACAATGGCTTTAGCGTTTCACGACAAACGATCGACAAGTTTATCACGGTTTTGCTTATTTACCAGCGTTTGCCAAGGTTTTACCCGAGACAAGTTTTGTCGGTGGTGCGTTTGAAAATTTGTCCGCTTCGACCAAAATTTGTCAAGTCGCGACAAACCATCCATACTTCTAAAGTGTTGGTGATGACAGAAAATTTGTTCGAACAAAGATTTTTCCTCGCTAGTGCGGGTAAGCCCTATGTCTTGGTTTGTTTTACCTATAGGCCTACCTAATGCTAAAATATGAGCCAATTCGATTTTTTGACTGTTGCTGGTAAATGCACGCGTTTTGAAGTCTCCGGATACGATTTTGTTTCTCTTTCATTAGACCGACCTGGCCCAGTACAATTGCAACAAAAAGTCGTTTAGCGAAGTCCTACCATGTGAGATTAGTTTCCGCGATGATACTCTGGAATAGCCCACCAAATTTTTCCTCTCATACCCTTACCTTTACCCACCCTCCCTCTATAACATATTGCACATTTTTTTTCTGCGATTGAACAACAATAATTGAAGGGACGAGGCATTTTAGAGCAAAGCAGTCAATTTAATATTTTAAGATATGAAATTCTAATTTCTGAATACTTCCTTAAAAGTCGTTGAGATCGACAAGTTTTGTCGAGAGTTTTATCTCACCTTATATTCACGACTGCAGTTCGTTTGGTGAGCCTCACCAATCCGCGGTCTTCTGGTCGTGTTGAAGTGCAGCACAATGGTATATGGGGAACCATTTGTGACGACTTATGGGACATACGGGATGCTGATGTAGTTTGTCATGAGCTTGGATACGATGGAGCTTTATCAGCAACTCATTTCGCAGTATTTGGACGAGGAACTGGTCAAATATGGCTGGATGACGTGCAGTGTGTGGGAAATGAGACCTCAATATCGCAGTGCGATCACACAGGATGGGGAGTTCATAACTGCGGACATAATGAGGACGCTGGTGTGGTGTGCCGACCTAAAGGTAGATAACGACACGAAACCTCTTTGTTATCATTTTTACAAAGAATGAAAATAGAGGTAATCAGAATATAAGGGGGCCATTGTGTATTCGACAGTACTACAATTAGCTTTTCTCTTATTGATGGGAAGCCCATACCTGTCGTGGAATAATAAAGACATTGGGGTAGTGTTTCGACTTGCAGGTAGGTCGACGATACCCCAACAGTTGACACATCTTAGAATAAACAAAGTTTATTATGTAGATACTGATGAAATACCAGGATTCCCTCTTTTACTAAGAAATCATATCTTCACCGCGCGCAGTGAAGATACTATTTTTATCTTTCACGTGTGAGGATATTGGTGTGGCCATGGTTACCAACATAATTACCCAATTACAATAGAACTTCTCGCTCAGGCGCGCGGTGGGTTGATTTGAGATTTCATCAGTATGTATATAATAAACAGAACATTACATGGCCGCTTGGGGATTCGAATTTTATCTTCTCGTGCTGAAAGTATCTCTCATGAGTGAGCTGCGCTCACTCATGAGAGATACTTTCAGCACGAGAAGATAAAATTTTTATCCCCAAGTGGCCATGCAATATCCTCTATTTACTTCTTTCTCTTATCTTTTACATATTAAAAACCGCATGATGCTAACAAAACGAATGCTAGTAAACTTAGATTTTATTGCACTTTCTCTCAAATGCCTTAATCATCCATAACAAGAGATTCAATGAACAACAAATTTGCATTCTTCAAAACATTTAAACTCAGCTGTTCACTTTTTGTACACTAAGTTTCGTCAGATGAAATTAATTTAACTGTGACGTTTTATTACCAATTCCACATAAGTAGTTACAGGTCCAAAAAGGTTATGAATTTTTATCTGAACACGAAACCTCTCACTCGTACTTTTTGGATTTTATGTAAACAATTCCCTGCAACTTTTTAATCTAAGAGATTTCGAACCACTTGCAAAATACGAATATAAATCGAGCAATTGCGTGACCCATAAGTCACGCAGTGACAACCATTCCTATTCATTTGTGCAAAATGAATGCTTTCGGAAAAAAAGAAAACAACTTCTATCGTATTGCAAGTAATTGCAAGTAAAATTTGTTTAGCCAAGTCCTACAATGTGAGATTAACTTCCAAGATGATACTCTGAATAGCTCACCGAATTTTTCTCCTCATACCCTTACCTTTACCAACTCTCCCACTGTACCATTTTGCAATTTTTTTTTCTGCGATTGAACAACAATAATTGGAGGGACGAGGCATTTTAGAGCAATGCAGTCAATTTCATATTTTAAGATATGAAATCTAAATCTCTAAATACTTCCTTAAAAGTGGCTGAGATTGACAAGTTTTGTTGGGAACTTGATCTAACCTTAATATTCACGACTGCAGTTCGTTTGGTGAGCCTCACCAATTCGCGCTCTTCTGGTCGTGTTGAAGTGCAGCACAATGGTATATGGGGAACCATTTGTCACGACTCTTGGGACATACGGGACGCTGATGTAGTTTGTAATGAGCTCGGTTACGATGGAGCTCTATCAGCACCTGGTAATGCAACATTTGGGCGAGGAACTGGTCGAATATGGCTTAATGACGTGCAATGTGTGGGAAATGAGACATCAACATTACAGTGCAATCACAGTGGATGGGGAGTTAATATCTGTGGGCATCATGAGGACGCTGGTGTGATGTGCCGACCTAAAGGTAGAGTAATGACACGAATCCTCTTTGTTATCATCTTTACCAAGAATGAAAATAGTGGTAATCAAAATATAAAGGGACCATTGTGTTTCCGACAGTATTACAATTAGCTTTTTTCTTATGGAGGATGGGAAGCCCATACCTGTCGGACAATAATAAAGACATTGGAGTAGTATTTCGACCTGCAGGTAACACGACGATAAGCGTACAGTTGACATAACTTAGAATAAACAAAGTTTACTTCTTTCCCTTATCTTTTACATATTTCAAAGTGCATGATGCTAACCATATGAATGCAAGTGATCCAAAGTTTTATTTCACCTTCTCTCAAATGCCTTGATCATCCAAAACAAGAGATTCAATGAACAACAATTTTCCATTCTTCAAATCATTTAAACTCAGATGTTTACTTTTTGCGCACTAAGATTCGTCAGATGAAATGAATTAATTAACTGGGACATTTTCTTGCTAATTGCCCGGAGGTCGTTACAAGTCCAAAAAGGTTATGAATTTTTATCCCAACACGAAACCTCTCACTCGTACTTTTGAATTTCATGTAAAAATTTCCCTGCAACTTTTCGTTTTAAGAAAGTGAAACCACTTTCAAAAAGAATATAAATCGAACAAATGCGTGATACATAAGTCACGCAGTGACAACCATTTCTATTCATTCGTGCAAAATGAATGGATTCGGAGAAAACGAAAACAACTTCTATCGTATTGCAAGTAATTTTAAGACGTTATTTATAGCATTTAAGCCTATATTATTACCACTGAAGCTAACAAACTACAAATGTTAAACAAAGTTAGTCTTTAGTTAGTTAGTCTTTTGTGTCGGCGACTTCGCCCAAGAGCGAAATTCCTATGAATTTAAAGCCATCGTATGCATAGCAGCACAAAAACCCCAGAAAAACAGCCCTACAAACGATACGTTTATCATTTCCACCTCTCGTAATTCAAACAATAAACGTTTATTTCACTTAGAAAATATTTTTCACTTAAAAATATTGTTTTGAAGGTCCCCTACTTATCACACGGCACTTAAGTAAATAGATAAAAAAGTCCGTATTTTATTTTAAATATAAATCGTAAGTTTTTTACTGCTTGTACAAACGAGGCTTCCAAATATCGGCTAAATTGGACCCTCGAATGGCGCTAATTATGCCTGAGTTGAGTTTTATCAATTTTCTTCAGATCCAAAGAATTTTTAAACGAGCTACATATGTCTTGGTTTGCTTAACTTATAGGCCTACCTAATACTAGAATATGAGCCAATTCGATTTTTTGACTGTTGTCGATGAATGTTTGCTTTTTCGTGAAAACCTTTCTTAATTTCAGCAGGGCCAGCTAAAAAGGATAAGCAAAACTATATCAATGATTAAAAAAATTAGTCACCTGGGGTGTTTTTCTTGATTTACCCAAAGCATTTGACACCATAAACCATAATATTCGTTTGTCTAAACTCCACCGCCATGGAATACATGGAATTCCTTTCAAATGGTTTGAAAGCTATCTAAATAATCGGACTCAATTTGTCAAGATTGGCAATACCAAATCCAACTGTGAAACTATTACTTGCGGAATACCATAAGGATCAACCTTGGGTCCACTATTAATTCTATTATATATTAATGACTTGCCTAACTGCTCTAATAAGCTCTCTTTTAGAATCTCTGCTGATGATTCAAATATGTTTTATACAAGTGCTAACTTAAAAAACACCTTGAATCTGTTATGAATGTGGAATTGAAATTAGTTTTTAAGTATTGTAGCAATAACAAACTATCCATTAACCTAATTAAGATTAACTATAAATGGTAATCTCATCCCCAAGAATAGGTGGACATATACATATACATAAAATTGAGCGTAAATGTCAAATAAAGTATTTAGGTGTATTCATTGATCAAAATTTACATTGGGGACCCCAGATCCAGCATATCAACGATAAATCAAAGAGAAATGTGGGAAATATTAAGAAATTACGCTATGATGTAGATGTTCATACTCTAACATAGTTGTATTATTCCTTCATTTATCAATATCTAACTTATGGCATTATAAGCTGGGGCACTGCCAGTAAAACTAGATTACAGAAGATCAAAACAAAACAGAATAAATGTGTGCGCAGCGTATTCTTTGCTCATAGCAGAGATAATGCTATGCCCTATTTCAATCTTTTACGAATCCTCACACTACAAAACATTTATAAACTTAAATTAGTTCTCTGCATACATAATTTAAAAATGGCCCCACAAACATCACAGCAATATTTTCTGGAACTCTTACACTAGCTTCTGAGGTTCATACCCACAATACTAGATTTGCGAATAATTATGGTACAAGTAATAATTATGGTACTACTACGTTTGCTTTTGTAGCTTCAAGTATCTGGGAGTCTATCCCCTTTGAATTAAAAAAAAACTTCCTTATAATTGTCTCTATAAGCAATACAAAATGTATCTTTTAAATACTCAATCTGTTTCCTGAGGGAATCTATCTCCTTTGAATTAAGAAAACTTTCTTATAATTGTTTCTATAAGCAATACAAAATGTATCTTTAAATACTCAATCTGTTTCCTGAACAATTCACCCTTGTTACGCGGCGCCCATATTGGATGTGACGTATGTACTTTAGGCATGAAATCAAGGCGATGCGTGGTAACTTACTTACATTACAAAAGTGGTGTCTACTGCTTCCGCGAGTAATAGATTTTGGCACACAAACCTTGCCGATGTGCTTGTCATCACTGGTTCGTTTATCGAGAATTTTGCTGGAGAGAACCTTCCTTCCTCATTATCGCGAGGATATAAATTTTTTTCACGAGAGTTTCATACACGATACTGAAGGTTAGTTCACGTCACTTTCTCCAAAACCTTTTAGAAACCCATCTTAGATGGAGAGACGTCACTGAGATACAATCCTTTTCTTGTAAGCTGTGCTGCGGGTAAAGGATTGTGCCATCATATCACAGGGGTATTATGTACACTGTCCCACTACCAAATGCTAGGATTAAAGAGCAATCCACCCATTGTCTCAAAAACATCTTTACCTGAGGTTTGTATTAATGAGAGTGATTTTCTTCAAGTTCCACGGGGAAGAAACAGCAAGTCTTTTCGTCAGATTATGGACCACTTTTAAAAATGGCGGCGAATTATGAGTTCTTTTACAAGTATTAAAACTGGCCTTAAAGGCCTTGAAGTTGGCAATTTCAAAGAATTTTTACTGATTAGTAAGGCTAATTTAAATTCATTCAAAATAACTGGCAGCTATTTATGAAAAGGGTCTATTGCCAGTGAAAATACTGATAAATCTGGACATGCTTTTCACAAAGTAAGTTTTTTTTTCATTTTAGACATGGCATATTCCCAAGAGTTTAGATGGGATTCAGCCAAGACCATTGACAGAAGTCATTAAGGAAAAACTGTCATGTTCGACAGATATCCAAACTATGAAGAAACGAAAAATAACTGGTGTCACACCAAAGCGATATAAACTTTTTAAACAGTCACGAGCAGAACTTAAATTACCAGCAGCACTTGGACCCCTCATTGAGGATAGTAGTCCTGAGCCTGGCTTTTTGAGAATTTGGCTTGAGCAGGGACAGGACACTCCTTACTTCACTGTAGATTTGGATTAGTACCAAAAGGCTCTGTTTTGTCATATCACCAATCACTCACTGTAAAGAAATCTGAAATTTCAGCCCCTGGCTTCAACTTTCCTACCCTTCAATTTCCACCCATTGTGTTAGAAAAGAGTCAGTAACTCCATTTAATAGTCTTCAAATACAGATGAACAGTCAAATGAATTTGAGCTTCAAACTAGGGAACAATCATTCAGCAAAGACTGGTATCGTAAAAAAATTTAGCCTTACTGCAGCAAACTTTAAAAGTATTTGCTCTAGGCAAAAATAGTTTGAAGCTCTTGCAACCAGACTGTTAAAGGGAAGAACAATACAAACAGCTGCCATGAAGTATGGCTTAGAACATGAGGATGAAGTTCCACAGTTTTATGCTCAAAAGTTTGGTCGGTCTGTTTTAAAAGTTGGTTTTGTGATTAACCCAAGATTCCTTCATCTTGGTTGTAGTCCAGATAGGAGAGTATATGACCCTTCAGAGAGGTCACCCTGGGGTATTTTTGATATTTAATGCTCCATGGCAGAAGGGCTCAAAGATATAAAATACTTGAAAAAAAAAATCACAACAGGAGTCTACTCCCTAAAAAAGAGCCATCAGTTTTATTTCCAGGTCATGGGCTCTATAGGGCTCACTGGTGAGGGGTGGTCTGACTTTTGTGTTCAGTGCAAAAAGAAAATTCATTATGAACGGATATATCATGATTCTGAGTTTTTCTCGATTATGATGGAAAAACTTCATTTATTTTATTTCTGTTACTACCTTCCCGCATTAGTGGCTTCAAAATAGTGAATCCTACAGCAGTCAAGATACAATGGGTGGTTGCTAGTTGTTAACACATGTTAGCGTTTCACATCAGATGTACCGTTGTGAAAAAATATCTTCCATTGAGAATTAAAAAGGGCTTGTTTAAATGAAAATGAACTTGATAAATTACATGAAAGAAACCTGTTTGACGGCTTTTGATGTACCTGTATTTAGGGCTTAAGTACATTTTAGTATAGTGTAATATTTGTGCCAAAATGCAACATACAGCTTTTAACATTTTGACCAGTGTCAAGGATCACAGGATCCAAAATCATTCAAAGAGTTTGATATTTGTCAATGCGATAGAAAGTACATGTCATAGTAGAAGGATGAATTAAAAATACAGCACTGCTGACAACAGGCTAATCCTGAAATGACTGTAACAATTTTAGAAAGCAGTTTTTGCAACCAAGATAAAACAAGGAGCATGATAAAGTACACTTTCTTGCTTAAGATTTTTCATAAAATAGAGGACCATAATAGGTCGTTATGAGACATGCCACTGTCCACAACTGATTGTTACTTCCAGCCATTGAAAGTGGAGACATTTTGTCTTTTAAATTCTTTAACGCGTCGTATGGCGCGTTCAACATGAGCTCTCAGATTATGTATTTACATGCTCTATGCAAGTTCCTTCTTCGTGAACTGACCCTTACTGCTTAGAAATGCAGGTATGGCTAATTCACACCCAATGGGGATCAAGAGGTCTTGGATGGTAAACTCTTTATCAGCAAGGATGTGATCCTCAGGTTCCAACAAATCCAATAAGCCAAACCTTTTCACAAGTTCCTTATCTGAGATGGAGCCTGAAAAAAGACCACTGACATGGAGGACCTCGCCCCTTGGGGAGATAACAATGTTCCCTTTGTATGTAGTGTGGCTTTTGTAGGACGAGTAGGACTCGCTATTGAGGGTGTAACCTCCAAAGGTTACTAGTATGGTGGAGTAGACAATTCGTACGCACAATGTAAATCACGGTTTATTCAAACGAGGATCATAATCAAAATACAAACCAGAATAAAGATATGGATGTGGAATCACATCTGAAAGGGATGAAGTATAGCTTGAAGGTAGCGTAGTTAAGATTGGTGGCCGTAGCTGAATTTAAGTGGCTGAATTGAGTGCGTGACTCTGTGACTGTGTGTGGTTCGAACTAGAAGAAAATACACTAGAAGTTAAACTTAGGTGTCCCTGAAAAATGTGACATTGGCCTAATTAACGATGAAGCGATTATAAAGTGAACTGCAAGCGAGAAGTAAACCAAAGTGCGAACCGAACAAAGGAAATATCTTAACTGTAAAATAAAGGGACATTTACTTTAGTCTAGCTCCTAATGATTGTAGATAGCTCGCTAATAGCAGATGAAATTGGTCGTGTCGACAGCAACTTATATCGATGACAAGCAATGAAGTATGAAACGCAATATCTGGTGTAGTGTGCTTAAATGAAACTGATTGAAATACCAAACTTATCAAGTGATAATCATTAACCAACGAAGAAATATTAGACCGGAACAAAAAACAGAAATCTACATGAGTAACACGTTTCGAAACCGCTAACAGAGGACTAAACTTAATGGTGCCTTTGTCTTGATTTCTGAAGCATCAATGATTCCTCGACACCTTAGGTAGATCTGTTTAAACACTCTGGCATGTTTTTCCGGATTGTTTCCCTGGAGGGCCAAATTGGTGTGGTACCAAGTACAAAATACAAGAAATTTGACCAAGAAAGAATTACGCGACTCACTGTTGCAATAGAAATATAAAATTTGTCAGCCCGTTTGTCGGTGACGAACGACAATTATACTCCGCTGGCTCGATATTTGTATATTTTAATCACTTTATTCGCTCGTAATACTCCAAAACTCAACTCGACTCGCTGTTGAAAAACACTCGCACCTAGCCCATAGCAACGAACCGACCTGTCAATTCACATAGCAACGCAAAAATAAATAGATAAATAAATGTACAGGAAGCGGGAGGGACACAGTTCTTGGTTAAATTAACCTAATTGTAATTTATGTAAAAAGAGATAGAACTGTTGAAAAAAACTCAATTTACAACTTCTGATGGCATCTCTTAATTGATCAACTTATTTCTATTCCCTTGTTTCTTAAATTTTGCATTTGTGACCAAAAGAACGTCTTTTCAGCAGTTGGTTGAAGGACTTGAAACCTGGCATAGAGGACTTGGTAGGAGGATAATCCTGTGTAAAACTTTGTAATGTCATCTGGTCTTGTGTGCAACTGTACATACAATGGATGTGCCATTACGCAGAGAAATCTTACTTTCAAGTTCATGTACTCTTTCCTGCGCTGCGAAAAGCATATCCTCAATAGAGGGCATTGGACCATGTGTAGTGCAAATGTAATCATGATTAATTGTTGGTGCTGGCTCAACATGAACGGTGCTGTCACAGCAACCAGCGGCAGACTCTTCCAGGGAATGAGTTGGTACTGTTACTTCCACCTCACTAGCATATTTTGGAACTTGAAGAAAACTGTTAAAATTCATTAATCTTCCAGAAACCTCTGTTTGTCTGCCCTTCAAGCTAAATCTATTTTCAGCGTCCTATCCTGTTAGAAAAAAACAGGTAAAGTCTGTTTACGAGCCAGTGGCCCATCAGGCCGGCGCTTAACTCCGGTTTCTGTAGCATGAAGCGACTAGGAGTATTTTTACTCCCCCCTGGATGGGATGCCGGTCCATCGCCGGGTTATCCCCCAGCATTAAGTTTGCTGGTACCCATTTAAACACCAGGGTGAAGAGAGGCAATGTGAGAGTAAAGTGTCTTGGCTAAGAACACAACACAATGTCCTTGGCCGGGGCTCGAACCCGCACCACTCGATCTGGAGTAGAGCGCACCAACCATGAGGCCACCACGCCTCCACATCCTGTTATAGGCTACATACTTATTGAAAAATAATTTTGTGTCCTTATTTAGTGGGAAACTGCTATTGATTTGACACATTAATAAAGTTTTTATTTATTTATTTATTATATTGTTCATTATGCAAAGTTTTTATTTATTTATTTATTATATTGTTCAGTGACCTAATGATGCTAATAATAATAATAATAACAATAATAATAAATAGTTTATTGACAATTCTGGCCATTAAAAACTGAATAAGCAGTGTAGTTTAAAAACAATATATACTAGCTGAGTTCAAATACAATTACGATGACAATAGTCTGCATTCATGGGAATCTAAAACTCACTGCATGGTCACCTATCTGAGATCATAGATTCTTTAGTCCTGATGGGTGACGATTTAGTCGCGATGGGTGACGATTTTTCTTTTGGCGTGCAATGAATTCTTTGTTTCCTTTTTTTTGGAGAAGGTACTGCAGGGAACGCGGAGTAAGGTGTAGAGTGGGAGGGCTGATAATTGAAAATAACTTTTTCATATTGAAAATCGAAAAAGGAATAAAATCATTGTAATTATTTTCCTTTTTAGCGCAAAAAGTGGGCGCCGGGGCGCAAAAAAGTGGTGGGGCCGCGGCCCCCGTAATCTCCAGTGAAATTCAGAGGGAACTGCTCCTTTCCTCAATACACGCTTCGCAGCTAAGGTCGTTCGAAAGTCTAATGCTTTAAATAGTTCAGAGCAGACCTTTGTGCTTCTCGAAATCTGAAGGACAATTGTAACGTTTTATCAATACGGGCCATAAAGAGTACATAAGCAACGTAGCAAAATAGCAGCTCGGCTGTACAAATAATTCTAGGCGATCAAATTAAATGAAATTAATTATTTTGTAAACCTGAATAAATTGATTACTAGTAAGCTTCCTTATCTTCAAGTCATAAAACTACATCACTAACCTGGAAGTTTTTTGCCAACATCTCGACGAATTCTTACAATCCAGCTTTTCTTCGCATATTTATCGACTGGAAAGTGATGGAAGGTAATTCTTAATTGGCCTTCTGATCTGTTTTTTGAGCACAAGAGCACACTGCAATGATCTTAGTTTCGCATGGTTAGCTTGTAACTTAAAGATTTTACCACACATCGCCTCGATTTCGTGGTTAAAGTACATAACTCATATCCAATATGGCTGCCGTGTGACAAGGGTAAATAGTGTGAGTACAGGCTCCTCTTCTCGCGCGTGACTCGCACTTCGCGCTCATCGCGCACTTGCATCCGTTCGAGTAAAAATGCGCCAAAAAAGTTACGCCTTATCTGCAGGCTAAATTTTTTCTG